GATGGACCTTTGGTCTGACCCACTATGGCCACTCTTACGTTCTTATGTTCTTAAACTGAATATGCATAGACATTTCTGTGGAAACCACTGCTTTTTTCCTGGAAGTTTCATGTAGATTTTAAAATTGTTGTTGTCAGGTGAATCCAACTTGCCTCATTCTGGAATAAATCATTTTATGAGAGGTCATTAAACCTGGGCGGTGTCTTGTATGCAAGAGACTAGCTCTCTCTCAGAATAATGGGCTACAATCTCTAATCACAATCGCATGAGAATGTTCTAGCTTCTGTAGCGCTAAAGCAGACCTTTCACCGAATATGAGGGCGTATCTATATTAGCAAACATCACGAGTATACGTCAATCAATTTTAAATTGATTTATCACATCAGTGCAAACTCCTAGTGCAGACACATTAGAACTGCTTTAAACCATGTTTATACTGGTTCTCTGAATTCAGTAAAATAATCAGATCAAGCTAAACTGCTTTAAAAATGACTTAAACCAGTTTAAGTGCATGTACATTAAAAGTTTGCACTGGTGTAAGTTGATTAGGTTACATAAGAGCAAAATACCATGTGTAGATGTGCCCTCTAGGTACCTGCATTTTATCCCTTTCACTCTAGCTAACTAATTAACCACCCAAAACAAAGCACGAATTGAGGGGATAGGTGGTTCTGTTATGCCCACACGTCTCAGGGATGCCAATAAGAAAAACCATTTTGAAGGGTGGGAAAAGTTGGCACGTATCAACATTTATTCTTCCATTGAAAGCAGCTCTCTCCACTATGCAGCCAATACTGAGAATAAGCAACTAGAGATTTTATAACAATTTCAGCCGCCTGACTTTCAAAAATAAAAAGGTACTTTCTGCGTCAGAGGTTTTAAAGCCAGCAGGGACCATTATGATCATCTAATCGGACTAGCTGCATTACACAGGCCTGAGAATTTCACCCAGTGGTTCCTACATCCAGCCCAATAACTGATTTTGGAAGCCTCTCTCAGCACTATACAAAAGACCTAGAGAGCCATTGTGGCAGCACCCTGCAGAGAGAAAGTCATAGCACATGATACAAAGAGCATTAACCAAGTACTGCACTTGTGCTGATTGAATGTCGGGCAGCCCAGTAATACTCAGCAGTGGCTTCAGGTGTTTCAGTAATTAAAGAGGAGTGTCTAGTTTCCTTTATGACACTGTTGTTTACTTTGTGGTAGGAGGTCATGGGAGACTAGCAAACTCCAGAGACTGACATTAAGAGCTCTGAAAAGATCTTTGATGCTGCAAGTTTTCATTAACCCATATTTGTGCCATATTTGCCCAGTAACTTGTCACATCACCCACTGTTATGCTGTTATCCGATACTGATGAGGATGCCAATAAATAAACCATGCAAGGAAAGGCCCTGCTATCATTCACTTGCACATGAGCTTATGGTGCCATGAGAATCTGAACAGTTTTCTCTCTGGTTTTGCTTTAAAATCTAAGACTTAACATTTCACTGACATAGATTGTCCCCTCTGGCATTAATAGCCATGACAGGGGAATGTTTACTGAAAATCCTCATGAAGATGAACCCAAATTGCCCCGTTAGGGGAGCAGGGTTCCCATCTCCCAGACCTTTGGATTCCGCAAGATTCACCTCGATCCTGGCAGGGGATCTGCAAGAGGCCACGGCCATCTGTACAAAGGCCCCACATTCCTTCTGTTGGTTGTTGACCACCCCAACCCCCTGCCAGTGCCATTGGATTCCCCTGTGGAAGCTCCCAGGTTCCTGGGACAAGGGCTGCCAAGATAGGTCAATATGGCCTGGAACTGTATTAATTTTTTCAGGCATCTTCTGTGGGGCTGGAGGGTGGATGATACGCATCTCCCGGATTCCACTCCAGCCCTCTCCTCCCCCAGTGCGGATCTTAGACCCTGCAGTGAGCCCTCTGCAGGGTCTAGGAAGTGCAGGGGGATGGTGCTAGGGAGGCTCTGGAGCCCCAGTTGCATGGGGAGGAGGGGAGATGCACACGCCGGATCCCCATGCAGCTCTCAGCAGGGATGATTCTTACACCAGTCACACTGTATGGGTTAGGCAGTGGAAAAGTTAACTGATCTTACGGTTGTTTGGAGACCACGGGTGCCTGCGTGAGCCTTGACTGGGAAAACAGGATGGCAGCTGCAGACTGGCTGTCATTATTGTGTCCCCTTTAGGGCATCTTTTATAATATGTATTAGCCAAGGCCCTACTTAACTTGAGATTTTGCAGAAATTGGGGATTCCACAATATTAGGCTTCCACCACAAGTTTGACAGTGGGAGTCCCCGCTGTCAGCCCCATGATCCTGCTCTCAACCCCAGGCCCCCGCTCTCAGCCCCGGGTGGCCAATAGTGGAAAATGGCAGAAAAGTAATAATGGACGTTATTACTGCAAATAATTACTTTTCCACAATTTTCCATGGCTTGTCTGCAAGTCAGCTGCAATTTTTTGACAATCATCCCACAGTTCAAGTAGGGCCTTAGTAATGGCATTTGATTTAGTTAATTCTTAAACAGGGCAGGGTAAACACTTTGCCGTGAATTGTTTTTCAGCCGGAGCTGGCCTTTTTCTGTTTGGAAGTGAGTCATGAGAAGACTTGGATTTTTACAAATTTATTTATTATCATTATTACAGTTCTTCCTATGAGCCCCAGCTGAGACTGGGGGCCTATGGTTTTAGGTACTGTACGAACATACAGCTAGAGCCAGCCTCTGCTGTGAGAGCTGACAGTCTAAACAGACAACGGGTGGAGAAAGGATGGGGAACCTAGACATGGAGAGAGTAAGTGATGGGCTGACTTTGGGCAAATCACTTCACCTCTCTGTGCATCAGTTTCCCCAGCTGTGTAATAGGGAAAAAATGCCGACCTCTTTTGTAAAGTGCTTTGATATCTGCTGATGGAAAGCTGTTGCAGAGCTGGGACATGAAGCCAGGTCTCCTGAGTTTCAGTCCAGCGCCTTATCCGCAAGAACATGCTGCTTCTCAAATGTGTGTGTGTTTATGGAACACTTTGTGTGAACATCTCTTGGACTAGAGGCCATTTGCATACTAGGTTTGTTATGTACGTTCACTATTTTCAATCATCCCTATGTGACTGGTCCTATGCAGACAGCAGCCCTAACAGCAGCATCTGACAGCAAAGCTTTGCCCTCACATCTGTGTTTGCTAGCGGGGGCAGGTCACAGTAAACTGCTGTTTGGAGAGAGTTTTTTATTGCCAAAATGAGTGGGAAAAGCAGGAAGGCAGAGCGACTCCCCGTGTGTCAAGAGAATGAGGTGCAGCTTTATGCAGTGAGATTGGAGTATCTAGAAGAGCATGTTGATCTGCAGAGAAACGTGCACATCATGGTTTTTCTGACAGAGAAGATGATGGCACTAGTGTAATTCCCTGTGAGAAGAGGGAGGGAGTAGGAGGGCTCTAACAGCCAAGAACAAGACATGGTGAAGGAGAGAGAATTTTTGACCACTAATCACATGATCCATCCATCCAGTCAGTCGATAATTGGACATACTTAGCTGTGGACAAGTTTTCATGAGTGTTCAGTACCTAGAGGGAAAGCAGCATAACTGACATCGATAAGCGCCCTAGATTTACTAAAATAACAAAATACACAAACATTCAGAAGAGGGGGAAAACAGGTACTCAATAAGAAGTTGAACAAGTAACATTCCTGTGACGCTTTCCAAGGATGCCCAGAGTTGTGAGGCCCCTTGCTGCCGCCTGCCCTTGCTGTGAGGAAACATTGTCTGGGCCTGCTGGGGATCAGCTCCCCAACTCCATTGACCACAAGCCCTTCCCAGTAGGCCGTGCAAGCCCTGCTGTCTCTCTCCAAGTGAGCAATTGGCACGTTCCAGCTCTCAGGCCCTCTGAACATCTTCCTGGAGTGTCCACCTCTGGTCCCCTGGACACGAACAGTGTTCACAGATTGGGGGTACTGTTCCTTTGGAAGCAGCCAGCTTATCAGTTTCACCTCAGATCCCCGCTCCACTTAATACCCAGCACTGACACATGTTTATAGTCAAATAAAGTAAAAGTTTATTTAACACAGCATAGAGATGCAAGTGATGGCAAGTAGAAATATTGGAAACAGATGATTATATAGAAAACAAAATCATAACATGCATTCTAGACTTAATTAACAAAATACTCTGATGTCTTGTAGAGTATTGCTTACTCAAAATCTTTACAGAATTTCACAGCCATGCTGGCTGTGACCCTTTCATAAGACAAACACACTGTTAGCTTGCTTCCTTCATGAAGGAGTCTCTGTGTTTCCTTATATCCCCCAGATATTCCCTAACAATCCTCTGTCATTATTCAGAAATAGGACACCCTCTGCTGTTGTATCCTGTGAATTTCCTCTCTGGCAGTTTTCATAATCTTTTATTCTGCTTGGGGCTCAGTATGAAAATAGATCCAAAATTGCCATGAATTGTATGCCCGATGACACACATATGACCAGTCAGGGAAATAGGCATCTGGTACCTCTTGCCTGAAAGGAACATGTCCGAGTTACATCACCGCCTGGTAACCTGCCTTAACTTTAAGACCTTAGGAACACAGATACTTAACTGCTTAAATATGATCTGTATACACATTTTGCAGTGATCATGTTAACCAGTGGGCTAGTGGCTCTCAGTAGAGACCTCACATGCTCCCTATCGGGGAACTATTTTGCTACATCTGACCCAGGAATTCCTGTAAAAAACCCTATGCACTCCTGTGGCCTCTGCCAGCTGGCATGCAGAGGTCTCTGGGTCACAAGTCCCTTAATTCAGAATACTCATTTCAGCTCCACTGACTGTATCATAAACTAAACACAACAAAATAATTCCTCTGAAGACTGCTTTGGACTGGCTTTTATTAAAACTTGTCAGCTTATTGGAACTGCCTATTTAACTGATAACAAACCTACATCACTATAAACCCTACTCACTGATCCAGAGTTAAGAACCCCCTTGTGCCGTAAAGCTGGGGAACTTACTGTGTATTCAGTTTGGTTGTTTGTAGGCTTTTTCGTTGACCAGAGGCTAGGATCCCAGTCCTACTTGTGGGCTCTAGCAGTTTCTGTCCTTCACTTCCTGTTTTCTAAGATCAGCTGCACTCCTTTCTCTTCCCCAGTGCTAAGTTACAGGATTTGCCATCCGAGAGGTGGAGTCTGGCTCTCTGGATGTTATCTTTCCAGGAAGTGGATTTTTGAGTGGAGAAGTTAGTCCAGTAAAAGATGTTACCTCACCGACCTCGCAGGTTTAAACAAAAGGAAGTATTTCTTCACACACCAAACAGTCAACCTGTGGAACTCCTTGCCAGAGGATGTTGTGAAGGCCAAGACTATAACACAATTCAAAAAACAACTAGATAAGTTCATGGAGGATAGGTCCATCAATGCTTATTAGTCAGCATAGGCAGGAATGGGATCCCTAGCCTCTGTTTGCCAGAAGCTGGGAATGGACGACAGGGGATGGATCATTTGCTGATTACCTGTTCTGTTCATTCCCTTTGGGGCACCAGGTATCGGCCACTGTTGGAAGACAGGATACTTGGCTAGATGGACCTTTGGTCTGACCCACTATGGCCACTCTTATGTTCTTAAACTGAATATGCATAGACATTTCTGTGGAAACTGTTAGGGGGCTTATTCCTTCACCCACTTACTTCCCTGGTTCTTCTCACATGAACAGAGAGCAACAATACCCGAAGTCCAAAGGTGCAAACAATTCGATGTTTATTGGGGTGAACTTCCAGCAAGCATGATTCCAGTTTCCTTCCTTAGTATCCTCCTTCCCAGCTCTGACACCACAGAGCCTTACACCTGTGTCCCTGTTCCCATTCCTACCCTTAGCCAAACATGATTCCAACTTCCTTACTTCCATTCCCTGTTCCATTTCCCGCTTTAGCAAAACATGATTCCAATTTTCTTACCCCCATTCCCTGTTCCCATCTCCCCCTTTAGCCCATTCCCTATTCCCATCTCCCTCACACACCCACAATCCCACCCACACCCACTTCCTCATTGACTACAGATTATATAGTAAAACTTGAGTTCTGCTTAGCTATACCTTAACCAATCATTTTCCTGAAATTTAACTAACCAATCCTAACATATTGTAACATGATTATGTAACCAATTATATCCCACCACCTTAATTAGTTTACACCCAGCAAAATTAATTATACAGCAGACAGGAACAATCACAGAACCAGAGAGATTATACAGACAAACAATAGCAAAGTGGGAACTATAATGACAAAACAATACAGAAGTGAGGATTTCACATCCCAGCTATTGATAAGTGAGTTCTTGCCAGACAGGATGCTATCAAACTAAGTTTCCTTTTACATTTTCTAGGCACTTCCCTTTCTCTGGAGGTGATAGGAATACAATCCTGTCCTGATAGTGCCTAACAGCCCAATAGCACCTTATTTCAGTGTGACTAATTTGGAATGTGAGGAGGTGACCGGTCGCTTCCCAGCTTATGGCTGCCTCTGCTGCTTAGCCAAAGGCCTGAGCCTAAGAACAGGGCCTCAGCCCTGGTCTACACTAGGACTTTAGGTCGAATTTAGCAGCGTTAAATCGATGTAAACCTGCACCCGTCCACACAATGAAGCCCTTTATTTCGACTTAAAGGGCTCTTAAAATCGATTTCCTTACTCCACCCCTGACAAGTGGATTAGCGCTTAAATCGATGTTGCCGGCTCGAATTTGGGGTACTGTGGACACAATTCGATGGTATTGGCCTCCGGGAGCTATCCCAGAGTGCTCCATTCTGACCGCTCTGGACAGCACTCTCAACTCAGATGCACTGGCCAGGTAGACAGGAAAAGAACCGCGAACTTTTGAATCTCATTTCCTGTTTGGCCAGCGTGGCAAGCTGCAGGTGACCATGCAGAGCTCATCAGCACAGGTGACCATGATGGAGTCCCAGAATCGCAAAAGAGCTCCAGCATGGACCGAACGGGAGGTATGGGATCTGATCGCTGTTTGGGGAGAGGAATCCGTGCTATCAGAACTCCGTTCCAGTTTTCGAAATGCCAAAACCTTTGTGAAAATCTCCCAGGGCATGAAGGACAGAGGCCATAACAGGGACCCGAAGCAGTGCCGCGTGAAACTGAAGGAGCTGGGGCAAGCCTACCAGAAAACCAGAGAGGCGAACAGCCGCTCTGGGTCAGAGCCCCAAACATGCCGCTTCTATGATGAGCTGCATGCCATTTTAGGGGGTTCAGCCACCACTACCCCAGCCGTGTTGTTTGACTCCTTCAATGGAGATGGAGGCAATACGGAAGCAGGTTTTGGGGACGAAGAAGATGATGATGAGGAGGAGGTTGTAGATAGCTCACAGCAAGCAAGCGGAGAAACCGGTTTTCCCGACAGCCAGGAACTGTTTCTCACCCTAGACCTGGAGCCAGTACCCCCCGAACCCACCCAAGGCTGCCTCCTGGACCCAGCAGGCGGAGAAGGGACCTCCGGTGAGTGTACCTTTTAAAATACTATACATGGTTTAAAAGCAAGCATGTGAAAGGATTACTTTGCCCTGGCATTCGCGGCCCTCCTGGATGTACTCCCAAAGCCTTTGCAAAAGGTTTCTGGGGAGGGCAGCCTTATTGCATCCTTCATGGTAGGACACTTTACCACTCCAGGCCAGTAACACGTACTCGGGAATCATTGTACAACAAAGCATTACAGTGTATGTTTGCTGGCATTCAAACAACATCCGTTCTTTATCTCTCTGTGTTATCCTCAGGAGAGTGATATAATTCATGGTCACCTGGTTGAAATAGGGTGCTTTTCTTCAGGGGACACTCAGAGGAGCCCATTCCTGCTGGGCTGTTTGCCTGTGGCTAAACAGAAATGTTCCCCGCTGTTAGCCACAGGGAGGGGGGAAGGTTGAGGGGGTAGTCACGCGGTGGGAGGAGGCAAAATGCGACCTTGTAACGAAAGCACATGTGCTATGTATGTAATGTTAACAGCAAGGTTTACCCTGAAAGAGTGTAGCCACTGTTTTATAAAATGTGTCTTTTTAAATACCGCTGTCCCTTTTTTTTTCTCCACCAGCTGCATGTGTTTCAAGGATCACAGGATCTTCTCCTTCCCAGAGGCTAGTGAAGCTTAGAAAGAAAAAAAAACGCACTCGCGATGAAATGTTCTCCGAGCTCATGCTGTCCTCCCACACTGACAGAGCACAGACGAATGCGTGGAGGCAAATAATGTCAGAGTACAGGAAAGCACAAAATGACCGGGAGGAGAGGTGGCGGGCTGAAGAGAGTAAGTGGCGGGCTGAAGAGAGTAAGTGGCGGGCTGAAGACAGGGCTGAAGCTCAAATGTGGCGGCAGCGTGATGAGAGGAGGCAGGATTCAATGCTGAGGCTGCTGCAGGACCAAACCAGTATGCTCCAGTGTATGGTTGAGCTGCAGCAAAGGCAGCTGGAGCACAGACTGCCACTGCTGCCCCTCTGTAACCAACCGCCCTCCTCCCCAAGTTCCATAGCCTCCATACCCAGACACCCAAGAACGCGGTGGGGGGGCCTCCGGCCAACCAGCAGAGAGGATTGCCCAAAAAAAAGAAGGCTGTCATTCAATAAATTTTAAAGTTGTAAACTTTTAAAGTGCTGTGCTTAAAGTGCTGTGTGGCATTTTCCTTCCCTTCTCCACCACCCCTCCTGGGCTACCTTGGTAGTCATCCCCCTGTTTGTGTGATGAATGAATAAAGAATGCATGAATTTGAAGCAACAATGACTTTATTGCCTCTGCAAGCGGTGATTGAAGGGAGGAGGGGAGGGTGGTTAGCTTACAGGGAAGTAGAGTGAACCAAGGGGCGGGGGGTTTCATCAAGGAGAAACAAACAGAACTTTCACACCGTAGCCTGGCCAGTCATGAAACTGGTTTTCAAAGCTTCTCTGATGCGCACCGCGCCCTCCTGTGCTCTTCTAACCGCCTCTGGTGTCTGGCTGCGCGTAACCAGCAGCCAGGCGATTTGCCTCAACCTCCCACCCCGCCATAAACGTCTCCCCCTTACTCTCACAGATATTGTGGAGCACACAGCAAGCAGTAATAACGGTGGGAATATTGGTTTCGCTGAGGTCTAAGCGAGTCAGTAAACTGCGCCAGCGCGCCTTTCAACGTCCAAATGCACATTCTACCACCATTCTGCACTTGCTCAGCCTGTAGTTGAACAGCTCCTGACTACTGTCCAGGCTGCCTGTGTACGGCTTCATGAGCCATGGCATTAAGGGGTAGGCTGGGTCCCCAAGGATACATATAGGCATTTCAACATCCCCAACAGTTATTTTCTGGTCTGGGAATAAAGTCCCTTCCTGCAGCTTTTGAAACAGACCAGAGTTCCTGAAGATGCGAGCATCATGCACCTTTCCCGGCCATCCCACGTTGATGTTGTTGAAACGTCCCTTGTGATCCACCAGAGCTTGCAGCACTATCGAAAAGTACCCCTTGCGGTTTATGTACTCGGCGGCTTGGTGCTCCAGTGCTAAGATAGGGATATGGGTTCCGTCTATAGCCCCACCACAGTTAGGGAATCCCATTGCAGCAAAGCCATCCACTATGACCTGCATATTTCCCAGGGTCACTACCCTTGATATCAGCAGATCTTTGATTGCGTGGGCTACTTGCATCACAGCAGCCCCCACAGTAGATTTGCCCACTCCAAATTGATTCCCAACTGACCGGTAGCTGTCTGGCGTTGCAAGCTTTCACAGGGCTATCGCCACTCGCTTCTCAACTGTGAGGGCTGCTCTCATCTTGGTATTCATGCGCCTCAGGGCAGGGGAAAGCAAGTCACAAAGTTCCATGAAAGTGCCCTTACGCATGCGAAAGTTTCGCAGCCACTGGGAATCGTCCCAGACCTGCAACACTATGCGGTCCCACCAGTCTGTGCTTGTTTCCCAAGCCCAGAATCGGCGTTCCACCGCATGAACCTGCCCCATTAGCACCATGATGCATGCATTGGCAGGGCCCATGCTTTCAGAGAAATCTGTGTCCATGTCCTGATCACTCACGTGACCGCGCTGACGTCGCCTCCTCGCCCGGTATCGCTTTGCCAGGTTCTGGTGCTGCATATACTGCTGGATAATGCGTGTGGTGTTTAATGTGCTCCTAATTGCCAAAGTGAGCTGAGCGGCCTCCATGCTTGCCTTGGTATGGTGTCCGCACAGAAAAAAGGCGCG